GCTCAATTCCGGTCCAATTCACATCATTTCACGGCGTCTGCTCTGGAAAACCTCGGTGACTTCAGATGTGGGTTCTATCACATGCGCCAAATCAAGAAAGGAAGCCTAAATAATAAAATATATTTTGGAGCTGTCGGTCCTTGACCACGATGAGTAAGTGGTGAGCTACGATGATGCCTACCACTCTTTCAAGCCCCCAGCCCTTGCTATAAATTTTTACACATTTAGCAGCGGTTGCTGCGATATCCGAAAGGTGATGAGCAGGCTACAGTTTTCTGTACGCACATCCTGCTGAAGAGTAGTAAGACATTGCGTCTGTTGAAACTTTCCGAAGCGTGTTCTGACATTGACGTAATGCTAAGAAAAAGTGAGGAGTAAACTGATGAGACAACGCAGAAATCCGGTTCCCACGGGCCACCGCGATCGCACTTCTGTGCCTGTGCTTTTACTCATATCGGATACATATTTGGCCCCAAAAGCGTTGACCTTCTGGAATTGCCTTTATAAAGCTATGAAAATGACGACCCATTTGCGATCAGGCAACCCCGTTATTCTTGTCGAATCTTTTCTAAAGCTCAGCGGAGAGCTGGAAGCACCGAGGACGTAGAAGGTGAGCACCTATTTCCCCTTCATTTATTTTTGTGACATCACAGCGAGTGCGAGGTCGCCTCTCAGCTGATAAGAATTAGTAAGTGCTGATGTTTTTCGTTTGGGTGGAATTGCGCAACAGTGCGTAAAGATTTCCTGAGAAGGTATAAAGGTTATCTTGGCACAATACACAACACTCACATGCGTTTGTTACGTTCAAAGATTCCTCTGCTCACGCCCTTTTTTGGATTTTGTACCTCTGGGTTCAGGTAGCACAGAGGGTTGAAGCTGAACACCACGATTGCCCGCTATATCCTATTCCACCAAGTCTATATGACTCAAAAGTCGTTCAAATACCTGATTGTTTCATTGAGCTCAGAATCAAAACTTCAAAGAGTGACTTGTCCTGTGCAGATTACTTCGTGGGATAAAATATGATGCATAATATTTTCATCCTATTCAACTGTGAGCGAAAAGTGAGTACATGGCTCATCCCATACATACCTGTTTACACAAACTTTATATCGTATGATCGAGTTTGGTTCGCGTTCGTGAGATCGCCACAACCTTCACCGACATTGTTCGTCTGGTCAACGGAACTTCATTGATTTTATTAACGCTGATAAGAGTTCGTGCTGGCCGTGTGACTTTGTGTCCTCGACTTAATTTGGCACGGAACATGGTCCCAATAAATAGCCTTGGAGAAGTTAACCCGCCGATAACCCTCGATTCTGGAGCTGTCCTGCTGGGAAATGTTGGGTGAAAAGAACGCGGAGAGGGCAGTGGGGGCGGTAGACGTCACAGTTTGCTGCGATATTTGCTCTCTTATCTGTACTGTTCGTTTTATTTGCGTAGTGGGAAGAAATAAATTAGTTCATTCGTTGTTCAGGTATGTATCGTCTACTACTACTGTGTAGCGCTGCCTTGAGCACAACACGCTGTGCTAACGTGCTCGTTTGGAATCCGACCATTGGCTACAGCCACGTTCGGTTTCTGGGAGCCATAGCCGATATTCTGCACGAGGATGGACACAACGTGGTCGGTTCATCGCTCATTTCTTCTTCTTTTATCCGAGACGATCTAGTGGTCGTTGCTGTGGACTCGGAACACTCGTCCGAAAACGCCTTCCTTTTAGGACCTTTCGCTGCGAATGAAAAGGGCGATATACTTCCGGCTTCTTCAACGAGTTCCCCTCTTTTCCTCATTCCTCCATTTTGCACCTTTTCTACTCAGTCGCGAGCGAAATAGCACACAACTTTGATCGTGTGTCGTGCCTTCAACCTAGATCAACTCAAATGGATTTCGCATCCTGGACCATTAAGTTTTATTTTGCAGACTATCCTCTCTCCAATAATGGATCCTCGTGTTGAGATGGTAGGGCACACTTCGACGCTTCTACAGATACCTTACGAATCCAAATACATGGATCACGAAGGGTATTCGACAGCTTGGAGTAAAGCCAATTTACTGTTACTTACAGAAAGCTCACAAATAGTAGTATTACAATTGTAGGGTTAAAACTCCTCGTTCTGGGAAGTACCAGCCCAAGGACGCTCGATGAGTGTGAGCGATTTCGAAGGGTTCGTCAGGAACATGCAGAGCTTATATCGAGGTTTGCTTAGAACCTTCTTCTTCATTCTTTTCGGGTTCAGTCACTTTTTCAAGAGCTCATAAGCTAACGCGACCACCTATTTGCAACGCACTGGATGTTCAAAAAGGAAAAGGGTTCCAATTTCAAGCATTTTTTTCTCGACAATACATTATTCCAGTCATAAGCCATAACTATCATCAACATATGCACCGTCCCTATCAGTAGTTTGTTGCCCAGAGTCTGATCGATGATCGATTGTTCGTCGCTCTGATGATGAGAAGTTAAACCGGCTTGGGTTCTTTTTCTATGCGTCAGGCCACGTAGAATAAGACCCTAAGCCTAGGCCAATCATAGAATAAGCATAAACCAAATGTGTTAAGCATATAGCTAGTCTTAGTTCAGGAACCCAAGCATAATCATAGACTTCATCAATGGTCGCACAGCGCTGGTGCGCCATGACACTAAGGAGGGAGAACTGGACGTCTCCACGGTGGTTCCAGTTTGAAAAGGCAGTGAGGTCACTTTTGGGGGTTTTCTGAAAGTCTTTTTGTACGCAAGGTGGTGCGTCAACAACAGGCGATGGAGACGGCAAATGGGAAGAGACGGTCAGCCCTCTATGGATTTCTTAGGACTCCTCAACTATGCCGCAGAATTTCGATTTACTCCATATTTGAAATGTGTTGTTTCGGCTGCTGAGAAACGGAAATTTATGAAGCTGTGGGGATGTTGCACTTTCCCCATGTATGTAGTTTGCCGTTAATCACATCAGACCTGCCGATCTAAACAGGTAGGGGAGGGGGAAAAAAAAAAAAAAAAAAAAAAAGAAAAAAAATTCCTAGTCGTGACCAGCAATTTATTAATAGTAAACGCTAAATAAAGCTCTGGCGTGTGTATGCAATAAGAGTATGGAATTTAGAGTTAGCACTAGCTATAGATAACAGTATACAGTATAGTCACCGAAACAGAGCGATCGGCCCACGAAAACACGCTTGTAGCAACTATGTCGGCTTTTGTCCAGCCACTAGCACTACATTCCCAGGCAGTGGAACAAGCGTCAACTTTTGTTTAAGGCAATGTGGGGCAGTGCTATTCAAAATGGCGTAAAACATCGCCACTTCCTGTCGAAAATGGGGACCAGCCTAAGTGAGGGACAGAGATTGAGAACCCTGGGTTCAGAGCAGTTTTCATTTTCCTTGAAGTTGCTGCTCCCTCTTACAAGGAAGGTCTTTTAGGACAAGCCGCGTTCATTCGAAGCGGTTATCGCTATTGTAAGGATACATGATGGACCACGAAATTATGTTTCATTTTCTGAAAGGTTTTATTAGTACGACAAAAGAAGTGTAGTGAATGTTATTCGTATAACTTCGTATCGATCCCGAGAGGCGCGCTAAATTTTGCGTCCAAGGTGGGCGCATGCTTTTGGCTTCAATTTGGTCCTAACCATAATGTGACATCTGCTGATCTTGACATCTAGCACCATTCGCCATCAACCCGTACTCGGCAACCCAAATACAAAATTTTAGTCGCCAATGGGGAGCGAACCTTGGGAGTACTTTGCAGTTGTTTTCTGATGCTGCTGAAACCGTTCAGCGAAAATGGAAACATGGTTTTGTATTCTGCCCATGGTTTTGTACTCTCTACATGAGTCTCCGCAATATGCAAGAAACGTTTTAACACGTTGACGACAGCGTGACGCGGTAACGCGTCCCACCCAAGTCATCCCTTTTTCTTGCGCTTGTGCGACTTATTCCTAAGGTCTTTGTACTCATTCTATAGGTCATACATTAGCATACTTAAAAACCACATGGCTCACAGAAAGGCCAAATATTCTTTAGTTTGGCAGACGTTTTCCAGACCTTACGGATATGTCTGTTCAATTCATTCCTCGTTTTCTTTTCAATAACGTAGACATGTTGATAAAAAGGAATAATAGAAGCGAATACAAACCTATTCGTATGGGAAGATATGTGTTTTTACTGAAACAACCACGTCCAAATTAATTTTGGAACCACTAAAGGGAAATTAAGTAAAATTTGCCTTTTCATGGCCTTAACACGTCATTTCGGTCGAACTTCCATTACTGTAACTCCCGATAAGTTAGACAGATCGAACATTATTGAAAACATTCATCGCATCTAAGTATTGCGTATTTACAGCTCAAAATCCATGGATTTGGTGTGCGGCGGCGGCGCTCGCAAAATCGCTCTGGTCCCACGCGGTGCAAAAGCACAAAACGCGCGATGTCGTCAACGTGTTAAAGCGCTGCTTGCCTTGAAAGACCTCCCCCTTGTTATGCTGAGTCCTAGAGGATGCCCCCTAATTTGCGAGCACCCCTTTCTGAACCCTTATTACGTTTGGAGTTTTTTGGTTTTAACGATCCGGGAGATCGTGCTTCGGTCAAACAAGCTAGGCTGAACGTTTTCTTTTTTGAAGGACTCGCCGAAGATGAAGAGTTTCTGAACCGCCTTCGTACCTTTCAATTTGATGTTGCTGTGCACGAAATTTACGAACCGTACCAAGTCGGCATTTTTGAGGTGAGGGAGAAGAGGAGATTTTTGAAGTCTAGTCTAAATATCTATTGATGGAGCTGTTGTTAAGTTGATTGGCGTGAAGAAAACTGTGGCCGTGTCCGCGTACGGAATAACGCCATACGTTCGACAAGTCAGTGGAGTTCCTCTGAATCCGAGCTACATCCCAGGTATTTTTTGCTTTCGCCTATGGTCGGGCTTATTCGGGGAAATTGCAAGAGCGTGTGCAGAGGGCTAACTTGCAGTTGCCAATTGTTCCCACGAAGTGAATAAGCGAGTAGAGCTTTTTCAGGACCATACACGACATACAGCGACGAGATGACATTCTGGGAACGTCTGGATAACTTTAAGCTCAAAATTGAACTTGAGTATCGGTCTCTCAATTGGGAACGAGAAACGTTGTCGATTTTCCAAAAGGTGCATCCTGGTTTCCCGAATTTTCGGGACCTTCTCAAGGTACGTCATTGGTGTTTTATATCAACTCACAGGGGAGCAAAACATGTTTATTGCCTCCTCGTTTGCAGCAGAAGGTTGGAGCTGTCCTGCTGAACGTGAATGAGTTCCTGGAGACACCTCGTCCTACTGCTAACATCGTTCGATACGTGGCAGGACTGTCCATACGTGAACCGAAGCCGCTAGATGAAGTGCCGTACTGCCTTCAGTAAAGATTGAACTCTAAAAATCGCTTTGCTTGACTTTCAGAAGGTCAGCGCTCTCCTGGATCAGCGAAGTACAAATGTTCTGTTCTCGTTGGGTACTTTCACTCAATCGAGGGACATGCCACTACGCCTGAAAAAAGGTTTGCTTCTCTCCCACCGTATATAAACCGCTAAGTTTGTCCCGTGTGTGTCTTTCACAAAATTTGGTGTTAAATGAAGAACTGTCTGCAGAGTCCGGGTCCAGTTGGCGTTGTGTGGGGCGTTTGTCAAAAATAAGACAACACATAGTAACTGTGCAAAGCTTTACCCACTGTGGGCGAAGCACGTGCTACTCCCAGAGCTTGCTACTTTCTCCCAGAGCAATTCTTTAAGCTCAAAGGCACATTACGCGATCAAACTGCTACACAATTCCTTTTGTAAATGGACTGGTAGGGCTGGCATTTGCAGATGTATGACACTGCCACGGCTCGAAAGTGTTTTGGGACTTTGTTCACCAGATTTCGGGCGGTAACCGTGTAGCCGCTGATGTCTGCGTTCTCTCGTCCGGTATGCCCGCTCATCTGTAGTTTCTTCTCAGAGCAAAGTTTGTCGTGGTAACTCAGTTCGCCTCCTGAAGGAAAGGAAGAAAAGTCTCTGAGCCGGCCTACTTCGTATGTACGTTATGCTTTTGTGCCCTACAACCGCAACTAAGCACTCTGGGTGTATGCCTTTAAGGCAATAAGAATTAAGCGCTAATGATTTTTATGTGTTGATTTTTTGATTATTCAGGTATAATAGAAGCTTTTGCTAGCTTCCCAAATACGACATTCATA